ATGTGTGTGTGTGTGTGTGTGTGTGTGTGTGATATGTGTGTGTGTGTTCAGACTCCTGCAGGCCAGAAGAGCTCGTGATCAGTGTCGTTCTGATATGAGGGATCTACAGCAGCAGCTGTCTGACATCCATGATGAGTTAGACAGCGCTAAGAGCTGCAAGGCCGGAGAGAGAGACAGGCTGCAGCAGGTACGACCTCTGACCCCTTTATTTTCATGGAATGATTTGTGTGAGGTGAGAATCTCTCCGTCCGTCTCTCAGGATCTGTCTCAGTTGCATGGGGAGTTCGAGGCCCTGCAGCAGGTGCAGGAGGAGCAGGAGGAGGCGCTACACCGGAGGGACAGGGAGCTGAAAGCCCTGCGGGGGGCGCTAGAGGAGGAGATCTCAGCTCACGCCAGAGATGTGGAGGCGCTGCAGGAGGAGCACCAGCAGGAGATCCACAGACTCCTGGAAGCCACACAGGAGGCCAAAGAGGCACGTTTCTATATTGTGTTTCATTTCAGTTCACTTTTATTTCATGTACAGTCTATTGTATGTAGCTCTATAGAATTAAAGCTGACTTTATGCCCCTCCGTCCTCTTCCTCTGCTCCAGAGTGTGGCTCTGCTGGGTCAGAAGGTTCTGGAGGTGGCTGCAGAGAAAGGAGCCGGTCAGACGCTGATCTCAGAGCTGAAGCAGACTAAAGCAGAGCTCCAGCAGAAGATCTGCACTCTGGAGGAGCAGATCTCCTCCCTCCACCATCTCATCCAGCAGAAGCAAGAGCATGAGAAGCTCCTGACAGCACGTGTGGAGCAGCTGACGGTGAGAATCAGCAACCTGTTAAAGCTGCAGTATGAACAGTACCAGTTTCAGTACCAGTTTTTTTCTTGATGTTCAGATGGAGAAACAGAATCTGGAGGAGGAGCTGCAGGAGGTCAGACAGCAGGAGGAGGACATGTGTGGAGCCAACCGAGCCCTGATGAGACACCTGGAGGACACACAGGTAACCTGTCTGTCCGTCCGTCCGTCTGTCCATCCGTCTGTCTCTCCGTCAGTCTATTAATCTGTCTATCTGTCTGTCCGTCCGTCTGTCTGTCTGTCTGTCTGTCTTTCCGTCTGTCTGCCCGTCCGTCCGTCCGTCCATCTGTCTG